CGGAGTTGGTAGCCAGCCCGCTCCGCTGCTCGGGCTGGGAACGATCTGCGCTGGGTCCCAGCCGCGTCCCCGCGGGATGGGTTGTGGCTTTTTTTCTGTTTTTTTAATCAGCGTGTATGGTTGTTTTCTGTAACTGCTCCCCCACACCTGCATTGTAAATAATTCTTGAACAGATGTGCCGGTTGTGAAGTGTTGGGCATGGTGGTTTACCCGGGGTGTGTCCTTTCATTTTTCTGCATCTATTGGGTATATTATATTTATATGCACACGCGGAGACATCTGATCAGATCAAATTGATCAGGATTTCTTTGTCTGCTCTGACCTTGTGGTTTGAACACGCTGTTCTGGCGGTAGTGGGGCGGGTGTTCGAGGGGAGCTCCATTTCTGTTTTAAAGGGCGTGATTGGGAATTACAGCCATTATCGATTAAAGCATAAGAGCGCAGAAGAAAGGGCAATGACTCGCACTTCTTCCTCCCCCCATCCAAAATTAGTGATGCTGAACGTCTCTTAAATAAGTATATCTTTGTGTAAGCTTGTTTTTCCTCTTTTTTTTTTTGTGTGTGTGTTTGAAATGGTTTGAGCAAATGAAACAGCAGACCTAAGAAAAATCCATTTTTCTTGGCACGGGTATTGCTTTTGAGATACGGTTGCTGAATTGTGAGTTCTGAGGTTGTTTAAATCTGAATAACAGGGTGTCATTGGAATTAGAAAATCAATAAAACAAATGACAATTTTTTTTGACGTGGAAACGTTGGCGGTACAATCTTGATCCAAAACTGTGGTCACTAAGTGTTATTTTGTATTTAACCTATAGAGAAGTGTCAGTGAAACGCCACAGCAAACCTTCTTGTTCTTTTCACTGAAGTGGGGTGTATGTGTGTATGTATGCTGAGGAGGAAAAATGTATGTCTGTCTCTTTCTTTTAAGTGTGTATATATATATATATATATATATATGAAATACACACACATATATACTGCACCATATATGTATGTTAGGTACCTACCTTTAAAGTATTTACAAATATAAATCTTGCATATATACATAAGCATCTAATCCTGTGCCAGTGTAGCAAAGTAAGTTGTGAGCTGTGACCAAAGCAGGGTAAATAATTTCCACCAGGGCCCGGTTAGCCTTAGGTGCTCATTCTAGCCAAGCACGTGAACCCCTCTGAGAAGTTGCTCAGCATACCCCCGACAGCTTTGCAGCATCAGGGTCCAGCTGTATAATCATTGGTTTAATACAAACTTCTGTAAGCTAAAGAGCATCCATAAGTCTTTGTGTATTTCCTTCTGCTGTTTTACAGCTGGTCTGAATATATAGTTTTTTTTCTTAATGGTCACACAATTATGAGTGGTTGAAACAAAGCTCATGCTTGCTATTTTTTTTCTTTATATTGGAAATCAATGAGAGAGACCACTTCTAAATTAGGTCCATGCATCCATTCTATAAATAAACGTACTGTGCTTTGCTGTTCTGCAGACAACTGCAGATCTGGGTGGCTCCTAAATTACAAGAAATGTGTTTTGAACCTAATGATCTTTTGATCATTCTAAATTTCTTTTCATATTTTTGTTCTTTTTATTTGTGAAGATTAATGTGTGATTTGTGGTAATTAGTCTTGTGTCGGTTGTAAAAAGGAACGGATGTATCTATATCCTTGATTTCATTTCAGAACATGTGAACTTCCATTTATGTGAACTATATTGAACAACCAGGATCATTCTGGTCAGAGCTGATGGGATTTTGTCACTGTCAAACTTGGGAGACACCAATTGCTAATTTGCCTGTTGACACTGAATTTATCACTCCTTCAGTGATAGTTTTGTAGGCAAGAGAAGCTGCCAGCCTTAATCAATTTGAATACTAGGCCTAGGATATTAATAATACGTCTTGTGAATGTTACAGAGCACTAAAGTAGCTTGCTCACTGAAACATACTGGCTTCCTGTCTCCCTCTAATCTTTATTTCATGACTTTTGAGCATTTCTATTGGTTCAGAGTTTGCAAAGTATTTGCACAGGGACAACTGAAGTAATTTATTACAAAGCTTAGGCTGTAGGGA